AAGAGTAAGAGTAAGAGTAAGAGTAAGAGTAAGAGTAAGAGTAAGAGTAAGAGTAAGAGTAAGAGTAAGAGTAAGAGTAGCAGTAGCAGTAGCAGTAGCAGTAGCAGTAGCAGTAGCAGTGGCAGTAGAAGTTGGAGTAGCAGTAGTAAGCAGGAGGGGGAGGAGCAGTAGCAGCACCCCCGAACCCTATTCTAAGCACGAAGGGCCCTGTACTCATGCTGTTGGACTTCAGGGTTTTGGGGTTCCTGGCGCGAGGCCGAAGAGTTGTTTCAGCAGCTACAGCTGGGCGCCTGCACCGCGAAGGAGTTGCAACAAGCGCGAAGGCGATTGAGGCTTAGCTGCGCACAGTGTGCAACTCCAACTCCATATCAACATGGACGTTAAATCAACGCCCCAAGCCTTAAGCCCTAAACTCTAAAACCTAAACCCAAAACCCCAAACATTGAACCCTATACCCTAAGACCTAAGCCTACACCTGCAAATGTAGGAAGAAGCTATATAGGACCTAAGGTGGCAACCCAGAGGGTGAAAGGCAAGTTTAGGGTTTCCGGGGTTCGGGATTTTGGGGTTTGGGGGTTTAGGGGTTTAGGGTTTGGGGGTTTAGGGGTTTAGGGGTTTAGCGGTTTAGGGTTTGGGGTTTAGGGTTTATGGGTTTAGGGGTTTAGGGGTTTCGGGTTTAGGGCTTAAGGGTTTATGCACACATCCACTGCGGGCTGTCCCGAAGCCACCACTTGAGGACTAACGTTTTAGGGGTTTAGGGTTTCCGCGGTCTGAGTAGGCTAAGTGCTTCTATGAGAGCTGTGTTCGTTGATGTTACGTGGGACTTCAGCCTGGGGATACAGTAGGGTTTAGGGTTTAGGGTTTAGGGTTTAGGGTTTAGGGTTTATAGAATCCTGCACCCAATCCCTGAACCCCAAACACCAACCAACCCGGAACCCCAAACCCCGATAGGCAGCAACCCTAAACCCTGAAACTTTGACAAACCCTAGACCCAAAGCCCGAAAAGCAACGGACTGTTTATGCAAACCCGAAAAGGAAACTTAACCTTCTTTTAACGCAGAATCTTGTCATCTTGTGGTGAAAGCTCCGAGGAACCGCCTGCTCCACGTTCCGACATTAGCCTTGAAGGGCGGCGACGAAGTGGATCAGGAGGCGCCATAGGTATGAGGGTTTGGGGTTTAAAGGAGTCTACAAGGGTCTGGAAAAGTGTCGGGGTAGATTGTAGTATAGTTATGTATGGAGGTGACCCGAAGCCAGACGGGGGGATTTGAGGCTTGGGGTTTAGGTTTACTGGTGAAAGTCCTTGACTAGAGTAGTAGACTTGAAAACGCACGAGCCTGAAGCCAGAGAACCCGACGCCAGTTCGGTTAATTCAGGACGCTTTCTGCAGCAGGTTTGCTGCAACGGGTGAATATTCCTGAAGCAGAGCACGTTGGAGTATGTGGGAAAATTAGGGTTCTACTTAGGGTGACGACACTAGTGTTAAAGTCTGACCCTGATGATGGTAGTAACCCCTAAACCCTAAACCCTAAACCCCATACTTACCAAGTCCCGTGATCCTTCAACTTCAACCTTAAAGCAACAAGGCGTCAGGGCTCGAAAAGACAGCCCGGCACAAACCCCAAGCGCGAATGCCCAAACAGGTCGGGTTTCGGCTTCGAGGTTCGGAGCTTGGCTTTTCGGGCTTAGGGTTTAGTTTAGGGTTTAGGGTTTAGGGTTTAGGGTCTAGGGTTTAGGGTTCTTTGGAGTGCGGGCTTTACCATCGAAGCCTTACTGGATCCCCACACCCGGCGTCGCGGCGTGGTGAGACATGCCGTGAACCCCTGGAGGCCATCCTCGCAGACGTGCGGACGCTGGTATCCACTACTTCGGGGCAGTCAGCAGACGAAAAGCGCGGAGGAAAGCCTTGCAGGGCGAAAAGCCTAAACCCTCAACCCTAAACCCTAAAGGTGTAGTTGCAGTTCCAAGGCTTGGATGCCAACACCGCAGGGCCCAGTATTAGGAGCCTAATCTATAGAAGCGTAAATACATACCATTATCATTACCTATTTTACGCCTGTTCTAAGTATTAAGCACCCAAACAAGAACCATGCGTTTTCTTGGTCAGGTTCCTACATGACATCACAAAGCTCTACACCCCAATCGCCCAGTGCCCTCGAGAATCGAAGCTGAACCGTGGGGCCGAAGGTCTTGGATTCCAGTAAAACGTGCATATTCAGGCCCTGCAATTCCTTCTTCTTCTTCTTCTTCTGTTGTTTCTTGCCATGATACACCATTAGTATTTATCATTGCTGTTATTAGTACTAAGCTTGAAGTCCGCTGACATTTTGGGATCCGATCTGTTGCAGAGGCGGTGGTCTTGCGATTCAATCGGGCCCCCAAGCCCTTTCAGGCCCCTATATTAGCTTCCCAAACCCTAAACCCTAAACCAGAGTCCTTGGGCCGAGGCTGCAGGCAAGACGGCGGCGGAGCTTGGCGAAACGAACGGCCATTGGCCCGAATGATTGTCGGGTCTTGCGATTTGCTGGTGTTTCATTCAAGGGTCGTCGTCATCATCATCATCATCATCATCATCATCATCACCATCATCACCATCATCACCATCATCACCATCATCACCATCACCTTCATCGTCACCATCTTCTTCATCGCCATCTTCATCATCGTCATCATCATCATCGTCAGCAACATCACCAGCGTCATCATCGTCAGCATCGTCAGCATCATCATCGTCAGCATCATCATCATCATCGTCATACTCACCATCATCATCATCATCATCAGCAACATCACCATCAGCATCCTTCTCCTCCTCCCCTCATCATCATCACCGTCATCATCGTCGTCATCATCGTCATCATCATCAGCTTTGTTCTTCTTCTCCATGATTCTACTCATCGTCCACATGGTCGTCGGCGTCATCAGGAGGTCATCTTCTATATCTTCTGGAGGATCTGAGACCTAAAGCCTTAACAGTAGGACGGTAGAAGCATTCCTCACATGGGTCCTAGAGATATTGGCATCGTGAACATCAGGACTCCCAAACAGGGAGCCCCAGTTTTCGAAACCCTAAACTCTAAACCCTAAACCCTGAGGCCCTACATCCCTAAACCCCTAAGCCCGAAGCTTAGTACTTCGGAGATTCACATGTAAAGTCTTGTGCGGGCCTTGGGCTTTGAGGTCTTCAGTAAGTCTCCATGCTTCTGGGTTTCAATATCAGCATCCCCGGGTCCCTGAACCCTAAACCCCTAAACCCTAAACCCCTAATCCCTAAACCCCTAAACCCCTAAACCCTAAACCCTAAACCCTGAACCCTAAAGAGCAGGTTCCGATCGGTTTAGCAGAGCCCGGTCAAAGGATTCCAGGAGAGTCCGAATTGCGGGCAGTTCAGCTTAGGGGGTTCCTTATGGATGGATTCTGTGAGCACAAAAGGCTCACAAATTCTTCCGGGAAATCTTTCGCTGTTTCTGGGACATGGGCGGTCTTCGCAAGTGGGGGGTGTGTGGGGGTGTCGGTTGATGAAGCAGTGCAACGAATCAGTAGCAGCCAAGCGAACCCTAAGCTACAGCCTCAACTCTCAGCCCTGCAACTTAAACTCTGAACTCTAAAGCCCTGAGCCTTCAAATCTTAACCCCGAACCATTAAGCCCTAGCCTGAGCCCTATTCCCCTTACAAATCCTTTCCCTGAAAATTCCTGGGAGTCAGGCCTGAAAGCCGACACGCTGGCTCTCCTGCGCGGGGAGAAGCAGGTGACCGGGCATGTCGAGTTCATGGTGCGGAGGATTCTCCCTCTCTGTATGTGACCTCGCATACATACATGCATATATACATACAAACAACAGAAAGTTTGGATGAAAGCATGCGCCCATGCATGCATCATGCATCATGCATCATGCATGCATGCATGTAATGTATGTATGTGAGTATGCATGTATGTATGTATGCATGCATGCATGCATGCATGTAATGTAATCTAGTCAATGTAATGTAACGTGATGTAATGTAATGCAATGTAATTCAACGGATGTATGCATGTATGTGTGTATGTTATGTTTTGTTATGCTATGTTATGTTATGTTATGTTATGTTATGTTATGCTATGTTATGTTATGTTATGTTATGTTATGTTAGGTTATGTTATGTTATGTTATGTTATGTTATGTTATGTTAGGTTAGGTTAGGTTAGGTTAGGTTAGGTTATGTTATGTTATGTTATGTTATGTTATGTTATGTTATGTTATGTTATGTTATGTAAATGTGTATGTGCATGTGTATGTGTATGTGTATGTGTGTATGTGTGATGTGGATGTGTATGTGTATGTATATATGTATGTATGCATGCAAGCATGCAGGCATGCATGCATGCACGCATGCACGCATGCACGCATGCATGCATGTATATATGTATGTATGTATGTATGTATGTATGTATGTATGTATGTATGTATGTGTGTATGTATGTATATGCATGTGTACGTGTACCTGTCTCACCTTTGTCCTTACTCTTTGAGCCCTCGAGCCGCGAAGCTGTAGATGCTGAAGGAGTCCGGCTACGCCCCGGCCAAGGCGACTGGGATTTGAGGGTGCCGTGACCAATAGGAGTTTGATTCAGGGGCAACAGGGTTAAGGGTTATTAAGATTAACTCCTTGGAGTTTTGTGGTACACTTGTAGTCCTAAACACGCCTCGAAGCGCATGTCTAACTATTTCAGCTTCTCTTTTGCGCCCCTTAAGCCCACACTTCGGATGTTCACCTTACTGGCAGCTTGACAAACTTACTTTGCTTTGGAAATCTTAGTAAAGATGCCGTAGTAAGGAGTCCTAAGTAGGATTCGTAGCCTGACGCCTTAACAGTAGCAAATTCCAGAATCCTGGCATTAAGCTCCGTACCCTAAGCCTTAAGATCCTAAACCCCAAGCCCTGAAGCCCAAATCCTAAATCCTTTAGCCTCCGAGCCCCAGTCCCTGAAATGCCCTCAACCCTGAACCCTAAACGAGCACGAAACCGTAAAAGCCCTAAGCCCTGAAACGCGAAAACGCTAAACTCCTGAACGTAAACTTACATCCAAAACCCTAAACCCAAACAGACTTAAACTCCTGTGTCCTTGGTTAAGACTGGGTTTCAGGATTACGAACAGCGGCAGTGCCGACACAGTGACGATATACATGAAGTTTGCTGAGAACTTCCGCCGGATGCAGGACACAGTGGAGAAGAAGATGCGACGACAAGCACCACCGGAAGCGGTCGTTACACCACACATTCGGACGAGGACCGCGACGACACCGAGAATGAGATTGCCGTTCCTGATGAGGACCAGGGGGGGCAGAGACTACCCTCGACTTGCTGACAGAGGATGATATCGGACCGGAAGCTCTTTCCATTGTCGGCGCGGCAGTGGAGACCATCATTACCAAGTATCAGACGGCATGCCACCACATCCCTTTCACAGACCCTGTGATTCTCGGGTGCTCTATCCCCTAAACCCTAAACCCTAAACTTTAAGCCTTAAGCCCTAAACTTCTGACCCCTAAGCTCCAAACCCTCCTGACTCAACATCATAATGGAGAAGCCTCAAGAATTTCCAACATTCTTGCATAGGGTCCCTGATTATGATTATAGTCATTGCGGTATTTTAAGGAGCCCAGAATCCTATGTATTATTCCCGAGGATCCCTGATTATATTTATAGTATCAAGGAGCCCAAAATCCCGTCGTAATTGGTCCCTGGTTATCATGATAGCATTCAGGAGCCTAAAATCCCATCCTGGGTGGTCCCTGATTATCATGATCGTATTAAGGAGCCCAAAACTTCTACATGCTAAACCCTAAACCCTAAACCCTAAACCACAAACCCTAAACCACAAACCCTAAACCACAAACCCTAAACCCTAAACCCCAAACCCTAAACCCTAAACCCCAAACCCGAAACCCTAAACCCTAAA